TAGACTTTTCGCCCACGTTAAACACGAGATTATAATATTTAGAAATAAAAATTACAATTTTTATAATATAATTAGTAACATATGTATTTGTGAGTTCATGTTAAAATAATTAATAGAGGTGCTTGGTGTGAGGCTGTTAAGGCTTTAATTGTTTTTAAAGACAATATTTTGCCAAGCACTATTTATTGTCTTTGTTTTTTTAAAAGTCTCTAAAGCTTTTTTTTAGATTATATATAGTTTATGAGTAAAAACTTTTTGTTGATTAATTATTATCTTTTTTTCTTGTTATTTTGAAATCCATGTTTATATAAATAAAACAATTATCAAAATTTCACGAAATGAATGAAAAAAAAAATTTCATTGGAAATGAATCACTTACATAAATTCTCAGTATTTTTTTCCCTTTTGTCTTTGATTGACCAAGTTTTGGATGCAAAATACTATTTATAGACCTACATAATCAATAAATCATTTAAATGATCGTTTTAAAGAAAGTCTTTAAAAACAAAATATTCTTCATTATATCAACGATATAAAACTGGATTGAGTTGGAAGTAGGTTTAAAGTATTTCAAGATGCAATACTGCATTTATAAAAAGGATTCGAGAACTCGAGAGTTTCATCCAAATATTTTTCAGTCTTATTTCACTTCTTGATAAAGCTTTTGGTTAAAACACCAAATCATGAAATAATAAATTAAATACTTTTTATCAGATTTATTTCATATTTTTTATTTTTCACTAAAAAATAATTTGTAAATAATTAATAAAGTAACAATCACATTTTATACAGCTTCTACTATCAAACAAATTTTTATTAATATTTAAGATAACAGTCACAATATTTACAACCAAATTCTCTCCAGCCAAAAGCTTACAGCACAAGTCTACAGATAAAGACTTAAAAGACACTTGCCAAGCGACTCCAATGTAAATATGTAGAGATTTCTGACATGAAATATAAAATTAATTATAATGTTTTGATTGGTTAATCGAATTAATGTGTCGCTTAAAATTTTCATTGAATAATAAATATGATTTTTTTTATTTAGTATCTCCTTAATTAATATATAGAGGATACATAATTTATTTGAAAAATATACTAGAAAAAAACCATAGTGAGGAGGTTTCTCTATATATAATGGTGGTTTTATGTAGAAAGTGAGGAATGGCTATACGAGAAGCTATAAATGAAGCAATACACTAAGCGAGAACAACATGATATTTGGAAACATGTAATTTTTTTTTGTTTTTGGTAAAGTATTTAGAAACATGTAGTAATAAGTGAATTTTTCATGAAAATACATGTTTCGAAATGTATTTTCATCATGCTGCAAGCATTAAACAAGAATACAAGATGATCAAAATAAGATCTTTATATATTAATTGGAGAGTGATTTATGAGAATATTGTTATGTGTTATCAGGACCGGTTTTGAGCATATGCCCAAGAGACATGGACTTTGAGCCCCCAAAATTTTTTGATTTTTTAATATTGAAAATAGGCCACCAATTATTTTTTTCTTACAAAAAAAAATTCCAAATTAAAAATTTATCTATAAACTCCTTATATTTTTTTTGTTGGTTTAGGACCTCCAAAATCTCAGGACCAGTCTTGTGTGTCATCTTCACAATCACACTTACCAAAACAATTGTGACATGGTTTGTCAAAATTATGACATGACAATTTTGAATCAATAATAAAATCTTCTACAACTAAATTTATAATTGTTATCATAAATACATCAAAAGAGTTTTTAATCAATATATTATCAAATTTTCGTTTTTATTCTAAAAGTATATAAAATTTTGGTTTCTTATTTAAAAATAATTTAGAAATTGATTATTGTAATGATAAAATTATAGAACATTTTTGTAGAATATATATTCTTTTTGAAAATAATAATAAAGATGAGGCAATTACAAAAATGCCACTTTTTGTGTGCACATTTGCAAGAATGTCACTTAGGGGTGTCCATTTACAAAAATGACACTAATTATAGATTTATAAAGCCTATATCTTAAAATTTTAAACCCTAAGAAATGTTTTGACACCTAAAACCCCATAAACACTCAAAACTAAATCCTAATAGAACATAATTAACCCAAACATAAATAATATAAAGAAAAAATAATTTTGAAAAAGTAACATTTTTGTAAAGATTTCAAAAGTGTGGCATTTTTGTAAAGTGGCACTTGAAAAGTGGCATTTTTTGAAATTTCTAAATAAAGATTTACCAAATTTTTAAAAGAGATTTTGATATGTTTGTAAAAAAAAACTTTATAAGTTTATAACAACAAATATAATTATTCTCTTGAAATATTTTGTATAGCGTAAGACAATTTGAAAATAATAAAAACATTTTTTAATTCGAAAGTAATAATTTTTTTAATATGTGTTTCATTTATAAAATTTATGATTATATATTTTAATGTTTTAAATTATGAAATACTTTATTTGTATTCTAAATTTTACTTAATATATTCGGATAATCCAAATTTAACATGATTTTTTTAACTCTAATATATTAAATTATTATACATTTTGATTTGACACGTTTATATATATAAAATAATTAAATTATAAAATTAAATTTATAAAATTTATATAATTAATAAAAATGATATTTTTGACAAAAAAAATTAACAATAAAAGCATCAACAATAATATCTATAATAAAAATCAAAATAATTATAGATTTTATAAAGACTAAAATTTTAAAAAACTATATAAATAATTTATTTGGATATGCGGGAGAATCACCTAATAAATTCATGAAAATTGGTTATATTGAACAAGTTCAAATAATGTAATACGTGTGACCCCAATAAAAAAAATATATATATATAAAAAGCGATGTGTCGCGACATCAACGGGAGAAGCAATACGTGTGCGACCACAATAAATGTATTTGGGTTATAGTGGGCCCACTGCTTATTAACGAGTAATGCCTTTTTTATGCGAACTTGTAACACG